ATATCACAATTTTATGCATTTATCTGTTGAAGGGCACCTAGGCTGGTTCCATAATTTAGCTATTGTGAATTCATTTGCTATAAACATTGATGTGGCTGCATCACTGTACCATGCAGATTTTAAGTCCTTTGGTTATAGACCAAGAAGTGGGATAGCTGGGTCAAATGGTGGTTCCATTCTGAATTTTCTGAGGAATCTCCATACTGCTTTCCATAATGGTTGCACCAATTTGCAGTCCCACCAGCAAAGTATGAGTGTACCTTTTTCCCCACATCCTCGCCAAAATTCATTGTTGTTTTATTTTTAATAATTGCCATTCTGACTGGAGTGAGATGGAATTTCAGTGTAGTTTTGATTTGCATTTCTCTAATTGCTAAAGATGTTGAACACTTTTTCATATATTTGTTGATCTATTGTAATTCTTCTTCTATGAAGTGTCTGTTCAGTTATTTAGCCCATTTATTGATTGGGTTATTTGTATTTTTAGTGTTAAGTTTTTTGAATTGTTTATATGTCCTGGAGATTAATGCTCTGAGGTGCATGTGGTAAAGATTTTCTCCCATTCTGTAGGCTCTCTCTTTATGTTATTGATTGTTTCCTTTGCTGAGAAGCTTTTTAGTTTAAATCCATCCCATTTATTGATTCTTGATTTTACTTCTTATGCTTTAGGAGTCTTGATAAGGAAGTCACATTCCAAGCCAACATGGTGAAGATTTGGGCCTACTTTTTCTTCTGTTAAGCACAGTGTCTCTGGTCTAATGCCTAAGTCTTTGATCCACTTTGAGTTGAGTTTAATGCAGGGTGAGAGATAAGAGTTTAATTTCATTTTGTTAGATGTGGATTTCCAATTGATCCAGCACTATTTATTGAATAGACTGCCTTTTCTCCACTGAATGTTTTAGGTGCCTTTGTCTAGTATAAGATAACTGCATTTATGTGGGTTTGTCTCTGTCTTCTATTCTGTACCACTGGTCTATGTGTCTGTTTTGGTTCCAATACCATGCTGCTTTTGTTACTATGGCTCTGTAGTGTAGTTTAGGGTCTGGTATTATGATGCCTCTGACTTCACTTTTCTTGCTAAGGATTGCTTTGGTTATTCTGGGTTTTTTATTTTTCCAAATAAATTTTGTGATTGCTTTTTCTAGTTCTATGAAGAATGTCATTGTGATTTTAATTGGAATTGCATTAAATCTGTATAAATATATAAAATATATAAAAATATAAAATAGTACGGTCATTTTGAAAACATTAATTCTGCCTATCCAGGAGCATGAGAGGTCTTTCCATCTTCTAAGGTCTTCTTCAATTTCTTTCCTTAGTGTCCTGTAATTTGCATTGTAGAGGTCTTTTACCTTTTTTGTTAGATTGATTTCCAAGTATTTTATTTTATTTTTTCTGAAGCTATCATGAATGGGGTAGTTTTCATAATTCCTCTTTCAGTGGATTTGTCACTGCTATATAGAAACATGTTTGATTTATGGGTGTTAATTTTATAACCTGCTACTTTGCTGAATTTGTTTGAGTTTTAGAAGTTTTCTGATGGAATTTTTTGTTAATATCACCTGTATATATATTATTAATGACAGAAAACCCAGACCTAACATGTAACATTCAAGTTAAATGCTAGCAATTTTTATTAAAATGCAGCATTTTCTCCCAAAGCATTTTGCACTCCACTGGGTGCAAAATATACACCCAATTGTATAAAGTTCTGCTTAGGATTCTCATGAACCATCACTCAAAATTGGTACAGGTTAACTTCCTGAAAAAGAAGCACACAAACACAAAGTTATTTTAAAAGGGAAGAAATGACAGGTATATGGTTTGTTTTTGTCAAAAAATACTTTTCCTCCCACAACATTTTATTTCTTTCTGCACTTAATTGTCGTTTTTCTATGTCACCATCTGCTCCTTGTCTATAGTGTACTCAATTGCAGTGTATTTACAATAATATGCTTATTATTGATGGTGTTTATAATCTATATTTTCAATCAATATTAAATTGTGCACCTTTTTTATCTTGCAGTCTCATCCCCCAATCAATAACTAATGTTTACAGATTAATGGTTCCTTCCATTCTTTTATATTCAGAGCATCTTAGAAAATGATATTTCCAATCAATTCTTGAGGAATGACAAAATGAACCTGAAGCCTGCATGTGCATGTATATCCCAATATCTTCTCTACTCCTCTTATCCTAAATGACTTCATATAACCTCCTCAATGTAAAAAAGAAAGAATCTAAAAATGCTTTAATGAAAAAGATAAATTCTTTGAATAAAAAGAAATGTATAATTTGTTGAGAAGCTCAAAATCTATTTTCTTTTACATTATTGCTATTTTAAGTTAACTAAAATTCTGTCTATTAAAATAAATAGGAATAGAATATGTCTTAAAAGAAGTGAGAGAAAGGCAGGGGTATATCTATAATGGAAACTGTGTTAAAAGTGGACTTTTGAGTTTCAGTTTAGCATGTGTTTCTAAGAATGCAGGAACTTCAGGGATAGAGGCTGAGTTAAGTGACATGTTATCAGAAAGGTATATGCAAGACCCTTCCGTTGTTCTCATGTTTATTTATTCTTCTTCATCGAACAAGCCCATACTGCTGCCCCTGCAAGCAACCATTAGCAACTATTCTGCTTCATGACTATTGTTTTATTTGTATTCATTCTTATAAAAATACATTTTGTTTTATGTATGTGCACAGGCTTTAATCTTTTGTTTTATAAATCACTCTGTCTCACCATTTTTACCCAGAACCTTATTTATTTATTTATTTGTATTTTATTTAGAGACAGGTTCTCCCTGAGTTACTTAGCACCTCATTTTTGCTGAGGCTGGCTTTGAACTCATGATCCTCATACCTTATCCTTCCAAGCTGCTGGGATGCTCAGAACTTTTTTAAAAAGATCTACCCATATCACTAACTGCACATCTAATTTATTGCTATTAACTGTTACATGATAATTACTAATTAAATCTGCCATATCTTGCCTGCACATTTACCTGTCACCCCAAGAATCAGACTCTTACTGATCCCTTTAAATATCCATGAAAGCACTTTTAGGGCAGAATTATTGGGTTGTTGGACATGTGCACACTTAATTCAACAAAAGGATACATAATTGCTCTTCAGAATGACTGAATCAGTGTATACTCTCATATGCAATGAATAAAGTTTCATATGTCCCACACCTTTGCTAACAATTGCGTATCTTAGTCTTTTATGGCTGCTACAAAAATATATATTTCATAAAATGGATGACTTAAACTACAAACATTTATTTCAAACAGTTCAGAAGGTTCAGGAGTCCAAGATGAAGGTACCAACAAATACAATGTCCAGTGAGGGCCTGCTTCCTAGTTCACCAAAGAGCATCTTCTTGCTGTGTTCTCACATGGTGAAAGGGGCAAGAGAACTTCCTTTTATACAGACATTATTCTCTTGAGGGCTCCATCTTCATAGCCAAATCACCTCCCTATCATTCCATCACCTAATACTATCACCTGGAAAATTAGGTTTGCAAAATATGAATTTAGGGTACACAAACATTCATTCCAAAGTATTTGGTATTATTTGGCTTTTTTTTTTCTTTTCTGGATATTATTTGTCAGGCTATCAGGCATCAAGTAGTATTGTACTCATTATTTAATTTGCATTTTTTTAATTACTAATGAGTTTGTGCATTATTACCTTTACTTACCCACCTTTTGGGCTTTTGTGTCTATAAATTGCTTGTATATATTCTTTGCCTTTTTGTTCTATTAGAACCATTTTTTTAAATTCATATTGCTTTGTAAGAATTCTTTATAATTTTTAGATATTAATGTGTCAGTTGTTGACATTTTGCTTCTACTAATACTTACCAAGAAACAGAAATCCATAAGTTTGAAGTAATCGTATTTATTGATTTTCTTTGCCTTACAAATGTGGTTGAAGTTTCTTTTAAAGAGGTTCCTTCCTCTTTATATATCACAAAAATATTTTAGTATATTTTCTCCTATTAAGTTTATAATTTTATTCTTTTTTATTAGGTCTTTAATGCTCCTAGAGAATACTTTGAATGTGATATTAGATATGAATCCAAGTATCTTTTAAAAATATAA